GTGCTGGTCCTGTTGCTCTGGATGTCTGTCTCTGGTCTCACCAGACCCCCCCACCTCCGCCGCACCGAGACCCAGTTCGCCGCACCGAGAGGCTGTCGCTCCCAACATCGAGCAGAAGAGGATCGCCACGATCCTCCGGAGGGGTGGTGACATCGGAGATGACCAGGAGCATCCAGGAGCTATGAAAAAAATCCAGGACACCTGTCTCACTAACGTGTGGTTTCTGGACACCTGTGTGGATATGCATCTTATGATGCATGTGGAAAATGCTGCATGTTCAGAACATGTCATCCATGGAACTTGTTGCTGTTGATCAACATACCTCCTTCTGGAGAAATGCTCAGAAGAATCATCACTTACCAATGCAGTTTAAACTATACGTACAAAGAATGGCAGCTTGGTTGTCTTGAAATGCCGCTGGGACATCAACATATACATCCTTTGAAATGCCCCGAAGATGGTATCTCCCTCCACACAGGTGGCCACATCCGGCTGCTTTGTTCCCATGACCCGATGCGCTTCATCTGCCCAAGCGGCTGGAAGTGCATCGTGGTCTGAACCACTGCCCGTGTCATGCCCCAGAACATCCCGGACATCACCGTGGTCACCGCCATGAGCCTTGGGGAGTTGAAAGCGACGACGGAGCGCGCAGGCGCCGAAGGAAAAGAAGGTATTGACACTTGAAGGAAGGAAGGCAGGAAGGAAGGACGTTGGGAATGAAGAATGACCAGCTGGAGCTTTCTTGAGATGAAGAACTTGGGACCAAGTTCTTACAGGACCCTCAGCCCAAATCTGTGTTTCAATGTCTGCTCGGGGCAAAAGAACCACCACACTTCCACCCATCCATTCCCATTCCCTTTCGCACTCCCCTGAAACACAAGTCTTCCATTTCTTCAATACCTCACCTCTGCTCCCTACTCATTACTTCATGCCAGGCACCCCATCCTCCTCCCATTCTCCTCCCATTCTCCTCTCTATACTCCACCGACCCGCCACCCAGTTCGTCATTCCAAAGCGCCAGTAGTTCAGCGGAAAGCGCTCCTTGAGACAAAACATCGCCTCGGTGGTTCGTAGTTCGCGGGAAGACCGGGTCTGGGGTCATTCTTGGGGAACGACAGCATGGTCTGCAGAAAGATTCCCTATCGTTCTAAAGAGACGTTTAAAGAAACAAAAAGACACATTATATAAGTATACCGTGATATACAGCATATCATACAACTGAATGATCTATATATATAATACAAGACGACCACCGAATGATAAGAAAAAAGAAAAGAATCCCATGCTTTCAACAGAATCCATGGGAGTCCCGAGTGACTCTCGCCTCTCGGAAGACCCTCCCGACCGATCCTGCCGGGTTCGGAGCCCCGAACGTAGCGAAGCGTGTTCCGTTCGTTGTTTCGGGCAGGAGCCACGTTCGTAGCGTCCTTGCTCCTAAATATCTAACTTTAACAACCATTATAAAACAATCGCTAACTATCTTTGAATATGAAAAAGAACATGTTTTTGTCAAAACAAAATGACAAATATCATTAAATATCTAACAACAATGAATGATCTCTTTATAGTCTTAATTTGGAGAATGAAATCGGATGACAAATATATGAATCATTATATTATATTATATTTCGATTATTTCCCGGAAACGAATCTGCCCAATTTCCACTCCCGGAGGGCCCGCTTGACCTTTCCCAGGTCCCTCTCATCTGAGACACACGCGGTCCCTCTCATCAGCTCCCGCTGAAGCTGCATCTTGAGACATCCCAAATGGAACACGTGCACTAAGAACTCTAATTCATTCTAATACCAAGATCTTTGCATGTCCTGTGACCTGCATTTTTTTAACTTTCAAGCTATTCGAGGTCTGTGACCGCGGTCCTAGGTCCTGTGACCCGTGGATGTCTCTAGAAAACGTTCAACCCGGAACCCGGAAACCCTCCGCATCGGCGCTTTCGGCGCCGGGTGGCCATGATGCACAGGAGCGTCGCGAAACCGGCGCTGTAAAAGATCACCTCCGGTGTCCGGTCGAGTCCAAAAGCACCGTTCGGAGTGATCCCTTTGGGTGCTAAAGGCACCGTTCGGTGGGAAAGCACCGCAGAAAAAACCGAGTCCGGGTGGCTTTTGGGGTCCCAAAAAATGAGAAGCAATGACACAAGACGAACAGATGACCTCAGGATACCTCAGGGTCCTCCACCGATACCAGGCTCTTCCGCTCCAGGTGCCCATGACGTCAGAACCCCGGCCACGTGGTGGGGCGAAGGTGTGGCACCACGCGTCGCAAGCGAAGAACGGCATCCCGGTACCGGTGTGTGGAAGAGTTGCTGCTGTGGTCGTTTCAGGTGTCGCTGCTGTGGTCGTTTCAGGTGTCGCGCACAAACCCAGTTCGTTGGAGTGTGTGTGGGCACGAGCACATCAGCCCGGCCCGGAAGGTCACAAAGCACATACAATCGCGCCTCCTGCCCAACATCCTGGAAATGGCCCTTTTGCATTTCCTTGGGAAAGCCGCGCGGAAATGACCGTTGTGCAGAACCCAACGGACCCGGGAGGAGGAACCTTGGGCCAGCCCACGCTCCATGTCCAAACGCCAGGACTCCGCTCTCAACCGTTCTCTTCTTTAGTGGGTGAAGCTTCAAAGGCAAGGTCGATCCTCTTCAGCTGGGCACCCACAGGGTGGTCTACTCTTTTGGTGTGACAAAACCAGCAGCTCTCGCTGCGGGGAGTCGCCCGGTTTTCCCTCCTGGATTTTTCAGTGATCCAAGTGGCCAACCTCAATTGGAGCACAATTCCGCACCCTGGAAGAGGGGCCACCATCAAATCCACATACCCCCTGGAAAACGAACATGGACCCTGAAAACCACTGGTGCAGCTAGAGGAAAACAGTGGAATCCGGGTCCCATTCTCAGGGGTCCATGTGAGTTTTCGGGAGTGTAAATCAATACAGGGCACCAGGGCACCACGGCCCTGGTGGGGAGCACCTGGCTCTTGCTCAACTACCGGGTGCGGTCCGTCGGCTCGTGGCTGGATTTTGAGCCCAAAATGGGGTTGGAAGAGTGGCAGGACACCATGGGGTTGAAGCCCAAAACGATGGTGTGTTTGTTCCACCCTATATAACTGGTCCTGTTTGCCGTGAAAACCCACCAGTCTCAATGGATTGGTCTCACTGGTCTGGTCTCACGGCTTCGTCTCACGTGGATTTCACCAGCACTCCAGTCATGAGAAGAACACCCAGCCATCACACTGCATCACACCCAGGTTTTTGGGATGGAGTAGATGGAGTCGACGGAGGCTGTCAGGATCAGTTGAAGCCTCCCCGAACTGGTCGCGGCGGTCCGATGGGAAGGGCCTTTTTGGAACAACCCCTGGCAGGTTGGAGGCCATTGCTATTCCCTAGAGCTCCAACCATATCCTCAGAAGGTGGTTAGACGGTTAGACCCCCGAAACCCACCCCAACCATCTTCTCAGGAGGTGGTTGGAGGCCATTGCTGTTAGGTTGGAGAACATCGCAAGTACCCCTTCAACTTGCCGAGGGTCGCTCAAGACGTTGCTCCAGATTTGGTAGTGGTCCACGGTCACCTGAGGAAGCCGTCGCACGGACGGGTCGCATCATTTACTAGGTCTAGGTCCTGGACGTACGTCATTTGGGGAAACAAGAAGTCGAGATTACTGACAGAGTGGTGGTTCAAGCACTGGTGATGGGTATTGTCAGTACGCGACAAAAGATTCACGTGGCCGGTGGTTGGAATCCGTCTGTGAGGCGTCAGAGGTCGGTTTAGAACGGAAGAACGCTCACAGGTTTCGAGAGAAAAACATGAATATGAGGGACCGAATCTCTCCGTGGATATAAGAATCACGTATACAGTCTATAGTGTAATGAAATTGTCCATGCAGGGGTCGGCGTTTCTGGAAATGTCAAAGTCTTGAGCCCCTTGAATGAAAGCTCATGCTCATTTCTGCGATTGTTCATGTGTATCCCATCATCGGTGGCGGAGCAGGAGATGTGCCAGGCCCATACTACCCAACCAAAAAGACAATATCCTCCAGCCGGAGAACCCATGAACCCAGTTCCAACCCCAAATCTTTGGGTGCGCCGCTTTTGGGGTGCCTTTTGATGAGAAAAAGATCATAGTCTAGGTCCCCAACCTACTAGCGATGACCTCCTAGGTCCCCAAACCATGAGGCTGAAGACCACTGCCAGCTGAAGAGTCATGAGACTGAAGGTCTTGATGCGAAAGGCCCTGGGGCCCGCCAGTGGGCCCGTGGGACCGGCTCGGGCCCATGGGACCGGCTCGGTGCTGGACGAAGCAACAGGTGGGGAAGACCAGGTCCATGTGATGTCAGACAAACATCACGGAGGCAAAGTTTTTGGGAGAGATGTCCAAACACTCTTGAGACCCATGTCCATCGTACTCGCGGAGTTGATATCCAAACCCCTTTGTGAAGCCCTGACCTTTCGTCCGCTTGACCCCGTCTCCGCGGTGACCGGCGGTGTCCCAGCACCGCGTTCTGCCTGCACAAGTACTCTGGCATGCCTCAGAATGGTGGCCACCGCCCACTTCCTGCCTATGATGGAGGACAGGAGAAGGGTATATTACATGGTATACATATCCTAATCCCTGTAACAGTGGATGATGATAGTAAGGCCTTTCTCCAACAAAATACACTATAATTATTATATATCATGATATATGTAGGTATAGTGATCATTGATCATTGTTTACCAACTATTACAGGCAATGGGACCCCCCAAGGACATATATGGACAGGTGGGTCAGAGGCCTCCAGATGTCTAGGGGAAAAAAAATAAACGAAACTGGTGCTCCACCCATCCACGCAGACAGAAAACGATCAGACACATCTGTGTGTACGTATACACACTTTTGTTGATATGATGTTCAAAATAATCTAGCAAGGGGAAAAGGACGTTCCTTAGTAGAGGATATGTATATATAGAGAGAGAGAGATAGATAGATAGATAGATAGATAGATAGATAGATAGTCCAGCGCAAAGACCAAGCACGTACCGCTGCCTTTTCTTGATTGGCTCATGCTCACATCTGTGTGGGCATCTTCAACCCCAGCACTTCAGATGGACAGCTCCAATCATCAAAGTTTGAGGGGCCAGCTTCAAACGACCAGCAAGGAACATCACCATTTCGAGGTTATCATCGTGACCATAAGGTTGATCATATACTTGTATCCAAGAGGGGCTGTAGCAGTGTTCTTCCAGAAAGCTGTACAAGCGAGAGATATCTTGAGCAAAAGCCTCCGGATGTCCTTCTTTGTCATCAGTGTTCAGCCACAAACCGAATGATTTTAAGCAACCCTCCACAGTGAAGGGTTCGTGGCTCATGTTTTCGAAGCCCTCTGCCCATTCAAAGAGTTCACACTTCGTGGATGGAAGCTGGCGGTAGGTGTCAAATTGATGCCAACGTTCCACAATGGTTCCCTTCCAATTATGCACACGCAAGAACACCGATGTCAAAAATTCGTTCGTCGTTATACGAGGAGGGTCTCTACGAAGCATGGTGACTCGAAAGCAAGATGGTGACTCGTCAGCATGTACCGCAGGTTCCTCCAGAGAGTCCAAGGCGTCCTCCTCTTCCAGCTCCGTCTCTTCAAGAAGTATTCGCTGCAAGAAGGCTGGGATGCCCAGCTTGGCCTCGAGCCTTTCTTTGATGGATTTCACCCGGTATGGAGGAGCGATCTGAAGCTCGGTGCTATTGCCAGAGAGACCGTGGTGCACCACCACGGTCTTGGCATCTGCTACTGCAGAATCACGAACCTTTGAATCAACATCCACAAACAGGGCAGGGACAGATGCATCTTCTATGAGGTAGACTTCGAACTCAACGCTTGTCTCCTCAGTGTCATGTGTCACCGCTTCGATATGCCCAAAGTCAATGCTGGTCCAGAGTGATTCCAGCTCCTCGCCCACCTCTTCCACATCCTCACCCATCGTGGTTCGTCCTCCACGGACGATGACGGCCCGGGAGAGGTTCGGGGCGATCAGGATGGGGCGACCACTTGGAGGCGAAAGCTTCGGCAGAGCGAACGCTCGCTGGTGCGTCCCCACAGCCAACCACTGGGACATACCACGCAATCACAACATACCACAACATCATGGGACATAATATAGGAAAGAAAACGCACCCCAAGCCAAGCATGTCCAACCACTCCTTTTCAATCGCAAGAAATACTTAATGCATCTAAAATCATCTACATGCTCTCACTTCGGGAGAAAAATCACCTGGGACGACAACCCACCCAGGGCCACGGACTGCCAGGCTTGCTGGGATAGCGCCACAGCGACCTGGAACGGCCCCAGGTAGGCCGGGCCGTTGAATTCTGCCCGACAGCTGCGCGACTTTCGGCCGGGGGGTGGTCGAGGACCGGTGTTACGTCCACGTGCTTCCTTTGGGGGGATGAAACCCTTTCGAGGCGGAACGTGAGTGATGTAAAGTGGAGGGGACCACATGAGACAAGAATAGGTCGAGGTTGCTTGGTCTGGCCGAGAGCTGAAAAGACTCCGTGTAACAGCTGTTTGTGAGGCAGAAGGGCAGGGTGCGAGGCGGGGGAGGTTTCGACAGTGGAGCTACCCCTGCCTGTTGTCGGAAGATGACCACGCATCCTTGATCCTGGCGAGAAAGACTCTCAAGCCCTTCGTGGTTGTGACCTTCAACAGAAGACTCAGCTTCGCAATCCAATTTGCCCAGGGAATGCTTGGAAATTGTTGGGACATCCTGACATCCTCAACTCTTCAACGATCCAAACTGAGTGCATTCTCCCACTTGCCAATCTTCATGCCTGCCCAACGCCTCCAAGCGCCTCCAACCGCCCGCCAAAAACGCTGGGCAGCACTCGCGACATCGACACGCCCAAAAACCGACCAAATCGCCAGTGGGGCCAATCGCTCATTTCACTGGACCTCGGGCCGAGAAAAGATGTGACGTGAAAAACAAACCCACCATACCTAGTATGGTTTTGGGGGCAGGTGTCCCAGGTACTCTTTTGGTCTAGGCTCACCCCGCAATGGAACCGGCCAGGGCCGGGGCCGTGGCAACACCAGCACAAGCCTCACCTTGAAACATTCTTCGTACGAAAACATGTGCTTGAGGACTCCAGGTCCAAGAATCCACAGGCTCGTCTGCCCAGCAGCATGCCACTCTTCAGTGCCTTTCATCCAAGCAGCCCCTGCTCCGGCAAGCGGAACCGCACGCCCTGGGCAAGTGCTCTGTCTCTGGCGCGTTTTTGGTGTGAGTGGGTCTGTCAGCGGGTTCGGACGGCTCCTCCGAAAGGTTCGGCCTTCATAGGTAGGATGCGTTTGGTGGTGTTGATCTACAAGGGGACAGTTCCTTGTCCTTTCTTCTACAAAGGAGACCAGTCGATGTCCCGAACCTTCTAGGGAGTCGTTGCCACCGCCCGGGGTCGATCTCCCTAGTTCAGTACCGCTGGATCTCCCAGGATCGTCCCCTCTGCGAAGTCATGTAGACATATCTAGACGGTGTTTTCTGGACCAAACACCACAACACCACCTACCAGAAACAGTTCTACATCTCCAAATGTGCGGAGGCTTCATGAGTTACCCGCAAAAGAGATAGGAATGAAGATGAAGTCCTTGGATACACAATCTGGAAACTCTCTACATGGACACCTTCATATCCGGATGGGAGCTCAAGCTCGACCCACCTTCACCTTCCACCAAGCCTTTGGAGCCTGAAGTGTGAAACACAGGGCTTTTGAAGTCAACGTTTCCTTGGGCTTCTTCTGATTCCCCTCCGTGTTCGGATCAACTTCTCTGCTCCCTCGGGACCACATCTTGCCCAGTGCTGTTGTCAAGAAGAAGCAAGGGATTATGGCAAAAGGACATGCGTGTCAACACGCCAGGGAGACTTCGCCCAAGAGCATGCACTTAACAACCAACCAACATCGATGTACAATGGGTTTTTCTGGTCTCGATACAATCATGGACCGATCACTCTCCTGTCCCGCTCTGCCTGCAGCTCTGGCCGGGCGGACTCCTCGTCTACCGGGAGGGTCCTGCTGCCGACGCCAGGAGCCCGAGATGGGGGAAAGCAATCAGTTCTTTTGGTGACGCCTGAGTAGTTCAAGCCTTCATACCTGGACAGTCCAAGTTCGGTGTTTCCTGGTTGGTGCCAACACCAGCCAGGATCCCAAACACCACCAGCTCCACTTCGAGGGTTTGCAGCTCCCCCTTGTCGCGAACCGGCACCGCTCGCGGCTCGTGCGGCAAGCCGCCTGTCTGAAGGATCCGATGCTGTAGGCACCATCGAGGCCATCGAAACCTCCAACGGAGTGGGTACCTCCAGTCGATGGCTTCGGCATGGAACTCGGAGATCGATTCGAAGAAGAAAAACGGGTTTGGTGTGGCGAAAGGAGGTCGCCTGTGTTGATGTCCGATCTCAGGGATCTTTGGTGTTGGGGTCCGTTGGCCAGAAGATCTGAACTCCTTGCGACGTCCATGGGACGGATTTCCCCCGCCTGCCATCCATCGGATTCCGCCTGAGCCATAGCGCCAACGGTGACCTGGGACACATACAGCCGGTCGGATCACCACATGTGATGGTAAATGTAATGAGGAGCGGAAAGGTGTGTTGCTTCTTATCCAGCCCTGGCATACCCTGGCTTGAAAGAATGTGACGAAGCACGCCCACAGCTCTGCCCCCCCCCCAGTTGGAGACATTCCCTGTTGAAGATTCGGGGATGCTCAAATCTTGCACGCAAGAAGATTGGCCATTGGCTGGTGGAGGAGGTCCATCTTCCTGGTTTGGCAGAAACGACCAGACCAGTCGTTTGTGAGGCGAACGAATGATTTTTTCACCAGTCGGATCATCAAATCTCCAGTTACCCAGTTTCAAGGAACCACGGACCACGTTCGGGGGGGGGTGGTTCGGGGGCGTTTTCTGTCAGAGGGGTGCCCAGGATGCACCATCCTGCACTCTAACACGAAAGGTGGACTCTCTGGGCCCCGAATGAACAGTCTACTTTCCTTTCCAAACAGTGGGGGGTTTCACTCCAAATCCATGTGAATCAGCCACCTCCAGTCGTTCTTGTTGGTGGGTTTTCAGATGTTCCACCGAACCCTCCGGTCCGGCCGAACCTGCGCCCGGGATCGCCGGCTCGGGCCGGGCAGCCGCTCGGGCGGGTTCTCTTTTCTTCGGCTGCCGGGTTTCGGGAGCCAAGAGACGTAGAGAGAGACGGATGGTGAAGGAATGAATCATTGCTAAACTAAGATTATAACACAAAGACTGTTATTTAGACAAACATGAATGAATAAATAAACAATAACAATAATATACAATACTAATAATAATGTATATATATACCAGGACCTTCAAATGTAGCTCTTTTTTTGGGTACGAGATTTTTGAGGTACGAATTGGTTGAAATGTGCTCGAGTATGTGATTTCTGCGCGTTTGGTTTTTGGTGTGTTTTGGGAACCCCATAAAACCTCACTTGCGTGCACAGCATTGTACCATGCACTCACACATCAGCTGCTTTGCCGATGTCGCCCTCAACTCCAAGCGGTCCGGTGACCTGGTTTTTTTCTCATCGTCGCTTCAAGATGCGTTTGTACTTCATGAGAGATCTACCAAATGATCTCAAGCAAGTGCTCAGGGAATGGGTTCTGCGCGATATTCTCGCACAGCGACCCACATAGTCTTCGTCCATCAGGCAACTAAAGCCTAGGGTTGGTGCCATGCGTGGAGGGAAACATCCGACGGAGGAGAAGAACAGCCCAACAAAGGTGCACCGAGTCTTAGCTAGCCCTGCGCGTAGAGTGCAATCAAGTCACATAGGTCATTGAGGAGCCAAGGTGATCCAGACTGCCCATCCAGCTCAATCTTCCGCCTCAGAAAGTTTAAGGATAATGCGCACTGGACAAAACACAAAACAGCTATCGATATAATATCTCACCTGATCTTATTGCAGTTACGCCACGTGATGTGATCCAACATGTGGAGCTTCGGTTTCATTCGATATAACTTGAATGAGCGATCATTTGCCAAGCGAGCCATCGCGGCATATCCCTCCTCAGACCATTCGCCAAAAGCACGCCATTCACTCTTGACAAGTTCCACAGCCTCATGCTTTGAAAAAAAGACATTGCTGCGGCCAAGGGGCAGTCATTCCATATCCCAAGGGGACCAGGATGGCTGCTTCAGAAGCTGGCATCCAAGTGCCGTACTCATACAGCCTCCTGAAGAATGCATTGCAGCAGTCGCAGGTGTAGCGCAAGATCTCGTACATGTTGCGGTCTCCCACAGCCTAGCTCACGCATGCTCTTAACCGGGAAGAAGACGTGCACTGCTGCATGAACAAAACAACTCAGCCACGGAACGACATCTTCCACATTGGTTCTTGACAAAAAGTCTGACAGCCACTTCTGCACAATGATGCAGTCGTGTCCCATTCCGGAAAGAACAGGATACTGCCGCCTCCTGGGCTCCAAGCAACGTATCCAACATATGTGTGAACGTGCCCACTGCAGCATGCAAGTCTTTGAGCCTTCTTTCAAACTCACGTGTTAATGCTAAGACTCGATTGGATCTTAAGCGTCCGCTTGGAGAAGTCAGTCAGTTTGCAAGTCTCGTGAGTTCTATGGCAGAACTCTCTGAAATCAGCATAAAGGTTCTCAAGCTGTGCATCAAGCGCCCGACCAGACATAGCTTCAAATCGCAGATTGACAACAAGGACTGGCTGCGAACTCTTTGCCACACCTATTGGCCAAGTATGTGCAAGGTCAGTCCTGATTCGTGCTTCTGAAGAAGCACCCGGCACCTTCATGAACAAAGATCTCTTTGCTTTCCAAGGCGGACTGGCTCTGCCAGGCTGCCATCCGTGCAAGCAGCCGTTGGAGCCCACATGCCACCAGTTCTCAGCATGAACAAGGGTTGAATTTTTTGGGTCGTGATATGAATTCGAAAGACCTTCACTACTTTCCCGCTTTCATAAAGAACGGATCTTGTAGCCATGTCTCGTCCTCTTCACAGTAATGGCAAACCCGCAATGAACGGAACCCTGTTTGCAGCTGCATGAACTTTCTCAAAAAGGGCCAATCACCCTTCAAGCCGATGAAGCACAAGTGAAATCGTTGGCCGTTCACCTGACTACTTGAGGCGCCCACAAAAGCAACTAAAAAAACAGGCGACCACAGGTGCATATACAAGTCCACTATTCAGGTGAGCTGCGACAACGCCGTCATAAAAAAGGCTACTCAGATCTGCCACGATGTATGCGGTATAGTCGTCCAGGGTTTTGTCATCCTCTGCAAAGTGCTTGGAAGGCATCATGAATGACAGGAAGCGCGTTGAAAAGGAATGCCTAGGCCGCATCAAGGTTTGGATTGACATACCGTGCAGTGGAACAAGCTGCACGCAGTTGCAGTTAAGGTACCCTTTCATGTTGGTGAACTCCTCCCCTTGTACACCGATGCATGGTTGATAGTTGCAAATCAATATCGGGCTCTTGTTTTTGCCTCGGCCCTCATCACCGTGTACCATGTAGGGTATCACATGACCAGAATCCGTGAACTGGGTGAAGGCCTCGTGAGTAGGGTCCAATTGCCGATACCGGGTCCAAAACCTGTCGAACATTGAGGTATATCCATCGAAATCTTCGAAGTCAAACCCCCCCAGCAGGTGTGCCGGGTGATGCTGAAGCAAAAACGTACTCCAGGACCGCAGGGAGATGTAAGGGTACTCAGCTTCAATCGTACGAACTTTTGGGCGGTGAACCTTCACTCGAACCTTGATCATAGACACAGTGACCTTCAGCTGCCGACCATCTCTAAGCAGGTTGGCATGAAAATTGCGACAAATGTTCCTGAACTGTTTGCGTTTCGATGTCGGACCAGCCCTTGCAATCTTCTCCAACTCAGGGTCTTTGACTCCTGGCCGGGTGAGAGAACTTGGGTGTGACTCACGCATGTACAGCGTGCACTGAGTAATGACCATATAGGTTGATCCAAGGCACCTAGGTGTTTCATTCTCTTTGAAGCCACTCTAGCCAGTCGAACTACACGTTTTGCAGATTCTGCCTAGGCGGTTTTGACGGTCTCTCAACCCTCGATATGTATACACCTGCCAATTTAATTGAGGCAAGATGCACCATCTTCAAACCCTGTAAAAAGCTCATCAACCAGATCCGAAGGGGTAGAAGATGATCTATCGTCGTCATCCTCTTCACCTTGACATGTGTTTGGGAGTGGGTCATGGGTACATGTTTCGCAGAATGGCCAAGGTCAAGACCCTGGTTTCGATCTTCTTCACCTGGTTGCAAGGCACCTGCGCTCATGATGATGCAGTATGGTGCCCACCACACTCAAAAACAAGTAAGTTCACTGTCCAAACTTTGCAGTGAGAGATTGCACACGCACAGATTCTTTTCACAGATTGCACCCAGACCGCAACACACCCCAGTCACGGTACGGTCAGTGGTTTGTCCATTCAAGAAGATCCTAGGCCGATCGATCCTTTCTAGACGATCGCAAATCTATGAAGAAATTTCTGCAGCCTTCCTTTTGTTGGATCGTGCCTTTGCTTTTCCCTTGGCCTTGCCGGCAGCTTTGGCCTTGCCAGCAGGCTTTGATCCGGGAGAAGCACGGCCGGCCACAGCGGGGGCAGCTTTAAGGTTCCTGGGCGCATGGCGCATGGAAGATCTGGCTAGCATATTCACGGTTGAACTTCAGCACATATGGAATCCGGGTTTATCTAAGAAGCTTGGCGCGAACGATGGCATTGTTCAAAGCCACATCCAACTTCGTGATCTCCACTGTTTTGGACCTCACCTTGTCCTCATCCAACCTTATACAGTACCGGCCAAAAAGGAATTAGGTAAATTGGCAATTCAGTCTTTGCGCACTGCACTGAACATCATGGGGTAAGGCGAAAACTTGCCGACGGCAGCCTCGGCCTGCAAATTTGTCAGGTCCTCATAGCCAGCGTTCAGCTGTTTGAGGATACCGGTGATCTGGTCGGCGGTCCTTGGAGATTTCAAACAGGGGCACTACCTAAGACCTCCAATTCTTGCATGTCATACATGAGCGTAAGGTGTGTAGCTGCAGTCTAGATACACATTTGCTCTCGGGTTCTTCTTCTGCAGCAACTTCTCCTACCACGGCCGAGGGTGCTTTTGATATATGTCAACTCAAGGCAACCTGGATCGTGTTGAGTATATATATATATATATCGATCCTTGTTGATCGAGTTTTCACGGTTAATGCATATACTATATAGCTGACTGATTTTGGTCATATGTCCTGCCCACCCGAAGGCCTTTTCACACTCGGCAGCATCAATCTTGCGCCCCAAAGTCTCAATCCAAGTGGGTAGAACCTGCAGAATGCTCGTATTCTGCTGCAACGTTGGGAACACAATCCTTAGCGCCGCATGAGACATCAATGTAAAGTAAAGCCAGCAGCCTGTTGATCAACATCTTAGGCATTACATGCAGGTGCAACGGTACATGTGTGTTGTACCTAGGCACTTGAAGGAACCAGGGACGATGTTACCCTCAGCGTTCTCCCCAGGCATCGTGGGAACCAAGCCTTGGAGCCTCTCTGGAACCTCGTGGTTCTCCAGCAGGCTGCCATCGGGGTCCTGACGCTGGCGGGGTCGCGAGATCCTCACAATGGGCTGACATAATAGTAAATGCATATAAATAAAATAAATATACACCCATTGCTGGTTTGTGGGTCCTCCAGCTCAATGCCAGCAACACTCCCTTCCGTGCCGACCTTCGCCGGATGTATGACTTGCCTGGCACCGATGAGGTCAGTGCATTCATGGCTTACCCTTGCAATCTAGATCAGTGGGAAGATGGGATGTTGGGGGAAGTGTATGATTACCTGATCAACTACAAGAACCTTAAAATCCCAGATATGTGGACAGAAGCAATTGGCACCTTCCACCGTGAATACATGGAGATCCGGAATAAGGTTTCTTTGATTGATGGAACTTTTTGTGAGGTTTGGCCTGTACTACTAAGGGCCCCCTATATACTGCAGACCTCTGTTAAGACTTTCACGGGTGTGGCCAAGGCTCCATGTCCCTCGTCTTCGTGTGCAGCTAGCTCTCCACATGAGCCATTGGTGGAACTTCAGAGTTGATGGCTCGACATGTGCATAATTAATCGAAATTCGGAGCCCGAATCGGAGCCCGTAGTGATCACTGCGGAAAAACGCACCAAAATCAAAATCCTAACGCGCGCAAATACCCGCAAAATGCGCGCAAATATCTGCAAAATGCGCGCAAATTTAATTTCAGGTACACTTCGGCCAGATCGGTATTGCTTTATCGTGATCGATCGTACTATGTTCGGAGGATTTGGGGCACAAACCATAGGTTTCAAGAGTTTTGGCGGGATTCGCTGTCCGTTTCTTTGCTTCCCATGGATCGGACTGGAAGCTGCAGCACACTTAAATATGGAGCTGGAATTTTACGGTCCCAGAATTCTGGTGATCCAGAAGATCCCATGGACGTCGATGCTTTGATCAAAGCCGATCGCCTAGCTGTAGCTGTAGACTCATGTGCTCAATGTACACATGTGACCACCCATGAGAAACAAACCTTTCGCTCAGGCAACACAACTCCGGATCGCTGGAATGGAGAGGGCCTTGATCCGGAACAACGCTCCACGGCAACCGGCAAGTGCCTTGAGGGATGACAAGTTGCTGGAGCCAGGTGTGGGGTTTGGTATGGGTTGGTCAATGGGGAATCATTCAAAAAGACACAAACGCCCCATGTAGAAACACTTGACAGGCGATATTCAAGTTGCAGAAGCTGATGGTCACTATCTTGCGGGGAAGGGCAAAGGTGTGTCTCCAACGCTTCATCGGGCAAAGCATTTGCCCGCAGATGTAGTTGACCCTGCACCTACTCACGAGGAGTGGCCAGATCGACAGCCGGATACCCCATCAATGCTCTCCCCCACACAGGTTAGATCTCCGGCACCTTCGTTGAAAACCCCACTGGCTGCCAAAGCCAAAGCGTCACCTACACCTGATGCTTCTGGTGGTCCTAAGTCTGGGGAAATGAAGCTTGACCCACCTCCTGGGCCAAATGATTCCGCCTCGATCCTGAAATTTGACAACGTCTACCATCAGAATTTGGTTTGCATTTAGATCGAGCTGAATTTCATGATTGGGTTGGTGTGGCGTCTCCTCCAAGCCCCTTTCCAATCTCAGGATGCGGCGCTACTTCAACAAGTCCAAGGACGGCGCACCGGCTGCCTCTGCTGAGGCATTGAAGCTTTGGAAAACGGATTCCGGGCGTGGCTGGGACCTTGACACGGAACATATGGCAAGTAAGGGTCTTCTCTAAAGCTGTGCTTCTTGAGTAAATGGTGGGGGTCAGGAAGTATGCATCTCAGTCCCCAGGTTCCAAGCTCAGGGAGTTGTTCCTCAAATCTGGCAACTTTACCCAGCTGGAGGTTGAGGTGACCAAATGGTCCCGCTCGCAATTGGACCGCGGTAAGCGTGGACTGTGGTGCACCAAATTGTATTTGCTCAACGATAAGCACTGGAGCAAGTAGGCCTCTTAGTAACCCTCGATCTGTTGAAACACAAGAATCATGTCAGGCCTATACTAATCAGTGCCCTGCGTTCATTTCGCCTGTGGCCCCAGGTCCATGGTCGATCACGCATGGACATGGGCGAAAGAGAACAATCAAATTAGATGTTCACCTATCCACGGCGAAGAGGAGATCAATGTAATTGTTGAGGACTATTTCTCGTACAGCGACCTTCAGGGATCAGGTATGCAACAGACTGGAGCCTTCCGTGTAGGCCTCATCCTTTTTGCCTTGGAACCTTTTGCGTCCATTGGAATCACGATAAGTACCTTGGTGAGGGGTCCAAACAAATTGACCATGCCTAGTGGGCCTAGTAGGTCAAAAACATATGGGCTGCACTGGTCTAAGCTACGGGATGTGGAGGCCTTCTTCGACCCCTTCGCCATTCTCCCCAAATCCAGGGCCTTGATGAAGCGGTCGTTTGACCAGATCAAGGTCCTTTTGGGAGTGCGACTCCCAAGGAGACCCATCCAAAATGAGATCTTGAAAACCTGGGCGCAATGACGGCCGATGAAAACATATTGACTGGTTGATCTAGGCAACACCATCCACTCATCGTTCGAGAGTTCTGAGAACTGTACGTAGGCTATCTTGTTGCAAAGTTGTTCAAAGCGAGCGTGTCTATATATGAGGGATCCAGAAGGATTCTCCAATACAAAGATTGATCTCTTTGCGAGTATGACCAAGATCAAGAGCACCAACCTTACATGCATGTTTAAGGTTCTCGCGTCGCATGCACACTTGACTTGAAACTTGAAACTGTTGACGCGCAAAAGAAAATGTAATTTAAGCATCATCGATGTGGCCTTGAAACCATAACATTGGCTGATCTCACAAACGCATACTGCTCTTGACCTTGTGGGTTGAAGAAAGACCTCATACTTGTATAACGAGCTGGCATCCCCCACGAACTGCAAATTGGCGCCAGCACGTTGACTGCGTTCTCCACTTCATGGAGAACTGTTCCCAAACATAGCCTGAGCTTACCAGGTAGAGTTGGTGTATGGGCCATTTCTTGTACACCTCCACGCACGCATGTCCGCATATGATAGTGATAGAGCACGATAGTGTAGCCATGTAGCAAAAATCCCGAAGGCCGACAAAAGTCCATGGATGGGCTATAATCGAAGTCAAAGCTAGCGCACGAGAACCCCTTCTTGTGCCTCAGTGAAAAATCCAAACTTGCCAAGTGTTCGATCATATATTTCATTTACGTGAGGCCTCCAAAACTAGGTCCCACACCATACTCGTGTGGTTTGAGCACAGCCCGAGAACGCCTCAAAAAAGTGAACGGGTGGGCCTCTGACCTGCAAGTCAGTAAAGCTGTAGAGCAATACCTTGTCCAAGAGGGCTGCAGTGGAAAGAGGGAGGTGGGATGTATTGTTCTTTGATCTGGCTAGTTGAGGGTCACACCAA